TCGCGCAATGCTATTACCTGTCCTTACGCAACCACGCTTGCATAACCACGCTTGGCCATTCCCCGCTGAACAAAAGAAATTAAACGTTCCTTCTTCCTCGCGCAAAGACGCCCGGCAACGATTAAATCCGCCTTCCACGCTCGGCGAGAGCACGCTCTCCTCGGCGATCGATCGCGATCGCGACCCGGTAAAACGGGTGGAACGGCCCAACCGTTTACACGCGCCTCCCTCGATCGATGACTTTTCGCCGCCACGAATCGATTTCGAGCTTTGCTTTTATCGATCCCTGTATATTCAATGAGGGGATACGCGGCAACACGCGCGACGCGTTAAATCATTGAAATTTATGCAGAACTGGGGGAGAGAGGGGAGCAGGGTGGGAGGAAGGGGGACCCACTACGCGCAGTATCTTTCACTTTTCATTACGGGATCATTTGTCATGCGTCCGTAGATCCCTTATCACCGGCCGATCATAAACAACCGTGGCATAAATTTCAACTTTCGCGCATAACCTGACGGCGAACCATCGACCGGCCCGCAACCGAGAAATTTATTACTTTAAAATCCACCGATCGGGATGCGTTGTTCCATCAACTTCCGTATCTCTCCTCCAAGTTTCTTTCTTATCTTTCCTCGCTTGCGTCTTCGATAATGGAGCGCGTGGATCGTATCTTATCGATGGAGGATTGTCTCTGATCGCGGCCTGTTTCAGTGGAGATGCGTTTGAGAAGATTTGGGGGTACGAGTTGACGTAATGCGGGGTCACGTGGAAAGTTGAACGGCACGTTACCGATTTCTGCTCTCGGAAGATTTACGAGGAGTTTACACGGGAGATCGTTCGAGGATTGTCGTTTGAAGATTGGATTGACGTGGTTGGATAAGAAAATATGATTTTTCGGAGAGGAATTAAACGTCCTAAAGAATTGTGTTTCAGAATTTTGTCCAAGAATTTGTGCAAGTATGTCTTCTTATTACGCAAAGTTCCGTGCGAGTTGATTGAAATGTTGTTTTTGACAACGAGTTATTTTTATTTCAATTTATAAAGTACGCGTAATTACAATTTATAAAGGTTCATAAATTTTTTCAACGATCTTATAAAGCTACGTGTAAAACGATGCAATGAGTTTTATATTCGTAGATCGTTCGATAAGGAGTCATGCGAACAATGAGAATAGGAACAAATTAAAGAATGATTAAGTGGATTGAGTTTCGAGATTACAGATGCGCGGAAAGATCGACAATTCGAGATTAAGAGTGAAAAAATAAAACGCATAAGAATAAAATTTCCATTTTTTAAAAAATATAACCAAAAATGCTAAGAAAAACTCCACGAAAGATCCACGAAATTCTCCTCCTAACATCCAAACCTATCGAAAAACAGAATAACAAGAACGTAAAATTTTTACAATTAAAAAATCTTATCGCGAATCTCCAAATCTTTCTCCAAAAACGTTCTAAATTTTACTCGTAACGATAATTTCAATTAGATAAATCGAACAATCTTTCGAAAAAAGATTTCCACCGTTCTCGAATAAAAAATATCCAAATTTCCTTTCTCCGGTCATTCGATCCCGATTCGACCATTCCCTCCCACGAGACATCGTTCACGAAACTCCGTAACGTGGCATAGACGTGGAGGGTGGAGGGGAGGCGTGGGTTTCACAAAAGGATTTAATGCCCTGTAGACGAATCAGCGTCCTGCGTTCGTTCACCCCGCGCGCCGCATAATTATGTGTCTATGCTTTATGGCAACGATGTAACGAACGCGCGCGGGTGCGCTTTCAGACGCTGTAAATTAAAGTTGAGAAAGTGCGCGGTACGCGAGCAGTCATCGCGAGCGGGAGAGGGAGAGAGGGAGGGAGGGAGAGAGGGAGCGAGAGAGCGAGCGCGCGTTAATTAAAGCTCATTGTAATAAAGAGCACTTTTTATTCACTTTGCCTCGTTCAGGCAGAGCCGGGTTCGGGTTCTCCTCGTAGCGGCGCGGGATATTTTTATGTTTAATTATATTAGGTTTTACGAGGTCGGCACAGTCGACCGTCTTGGCCGACGTAAAACGTCCCCGGTCCCGAACAGTTTTCAACTTTAATTGTCGACCACCAGTCGACCGGTGGTTTATCCGGTGGCTATAAACACCGGCCCGGCGACACTTCCCTCCTTCGATGAGAATACGCCGCGGCGACGATCCTCGCTTCGTCTTCATTATCCACCCTGCTGGACGAATTAATTACGATTTTGTTTCGAGACACGTCCGCCTACCCTTCCTCCTACGTTCTTGCAATTTATCGCGTTGCACGCTGGTAATTGATATTTGATTGCCGGGGATCGATTAAATCCCTGGCTGGATCCTTTGGGAGATTTTCTTGGAATTGGAATTTAGCGAGCTATGGTTCTTTTTTCTTTTTTATTTTTTGGAATATTTTTATCCTCCAAGAATTCTATCTCCAAGAGTTTGAGAAACAATTGAAGAAGCATTCTTGTGCTATTCGAATACGTTAAACTGTATAATTCTTATGACAAATTGTACATTCTTACGAGAATTATCCAAGAAATTATTGTCTAAATAATTTGAATCGTCGCTAAGAAGTCGTAAACTAAGAAGACTAATCATCATCGTTAGATTCTAATTGCAAGGAATATCATTAATACTGAATACGAAAAAAAAAAAAAAAAGAAAAAAAGCTAACACTTTCTCTTTCACGAACGTAAACGACACGATACTGGACAAATGCACCTATCAACCGTTTAAGATGCATTTTCTCCAGAGATTTCCAACAGAGGAAAATCGAACTCTCCGAAAGAAGTTCCTGAATCGTTACAAAGAAGGCATAGTGATGATTACCAAGAATGCACATGTATCATTTACAAGCGCATTAAACGGCAATGGCGCGACCGCAAGTTACGTAAGTGTCAAGTTAAATATAGCTAAAACTCTCGTTCTACCTTATTAACCCCAACTAACGAGAAGCATCGTGATCTCTTTCAACGCGTATATACACGCGTTTCATCCTCAAGAGTCAAGCAAATTTTCGAGCAAATTTCCCTATTGCTACACGTGAAACCATCCCTCTATTTCAATATATTCTTATTCGGGGGGGAAGGAGGGAAGGAAGGAGGGGGGGGACGGTATCCGATGATTAAAATTGATATTCGTCCGATCAAATTTTCCTATTCCTTCTCATAGAACGATTCCTTTATTTCGGTATTGTTACTTAGGGGAAATGGGATCTGATGATTAAAATCGATTTTCATCCGAACGATCGGTCAACCAATCGGTCCAATATTCGTTTTTAGCCGCGAGACGAGATAATATTCGAATTTTTTTTCTTTCCCCCCCCCCCCCTCCCCCCTAACGAAAAAGGATAACTCATGTTGATATCAAGATTCGAACGGTTTCAGGATATGGCCGCGATGTAAGCTGTGGATCTCTCTTCCATCTCCCTCCTCCCCCTCCCTGGCAACCGTCCTCTCTCTCTCTCACTCGCTCCTGGCACCGAGAGATATCAATTAGCACTACGTCCTGGGGAATTAATCTCGGGAATTAATATCGCGACGTTGCCAATTAATTTTCGTTAATTTCGAATCAGCAGTTTCCAGAGCAGTGCCAGTGCGGCCCCCTAACACAAATCCCTATCGCCTATGGTCGTGCCTCTCTGTGCTTCCAAACTTGGGTAACAGACAGAGAGACGGGCAGGAACTAAGACGAGAGGGAAAGAGACAAAGAGACACGTACGAGGAGACGGACGAATTGGAGCGAAAGAGAGGGATATATATATATTTATTATTAGAGAGAGAGGGAAAGAGAGAGGGAGAGAGTGAGAAGAGGAGTGGAAGGAACGAAGGTTCCACAACTGCGACGCTGTGTAGACACTTCCATGAAAGTTTCGAGCGAACAAGCGGTTGCCTCGTTGGCCGTTTCTTGCTTGCACGCCCAATCGGAAGAGTATTGCTTGCAACGTTTATCAAAACACACCGTTTAATTATGACCGTGCGTTGCCACTGGCGTCGAAAGTGGCGTCGTTGCGTCATTGCTGCACTCTCAAAAATCGCGCCCGGATACACTGTCCTCCCCTACTACTCCCCTACTACTCCTCCTCGGTTACGTTCGGTTACCTTCGGCCGTTCTCGGTTGCTCCACTGACCATAACTTTTCACCCTATTCAGAGGCACAAATACGCATACACTTTTAAATAATAATGTAAATAAATGACGGACCAAGAGAGATTTGTTTTGAAATCATCGAGTGTTCATCGAGTTCGTGGGAAAAATATGTGCGAGATTATCTGTGTTTACACGTGTGAAATTTCTCGGAAACAAACGAGGAAATTTATTTCTTGGAATTTCTATTCCTCCTTTTTTTCGTTGTCCGCGAGAGGACAAACAAAAATATTAACGAAATAAAGATATTGCGAAGTTAAATTGTTCCGAATGTTTCTTGAGAGACAGAGAGACACAGAGAGAGAGAGAAACAAAGAAAGAGAGAGAAATTCTTCTATACTAAAGATTTCAATACGCGATAATTTCCTCTTCTTAATAAAGAGGAAACTATTATAATTATATATGTATATATACTTCTAGAATTATAAATAGAGTTTGAATGTTTNATATTCAAAGAAATATTCTTTATAACTTTTAGAAAAATAACTTTTTAAATAAATCTTTATTTACGATACATATTTTTTGATCTATATTTAAAACCGTATAAATTTATATCAATAAAATTGCAACAAACATCCATTCTCTAATTCTAAACATTATATTAATCTATATCGAACTAACAAAAGATAATAAACTATCGTAATAAATTAGTTAAAATGATTGTAATTTGTTCCCAGGAGTAAAGGTAACGAAGTAAATCGAAAGTCACGCATAAATGACAATGTACGCAATGTAAAATATCTCTTCTTATTAAAAAAAATTGATAATTCTATTAATATAATAATATAATAATATAATATTATTTCTAAATAGTTATAAATTATATAAAATTAAATAGTACGAACCTATCTCGATTGATACAGCATATTAGATAGCGAAGAAGCCTTTGGTCATCGTCCATTCGTAGATTCCGAAGATAATACGTCGTAATTTCCGAAAAGAGGACAAACACGCACATCACTCCTCACCGCACAAAATTTCGAAGCAGACTGCCGTCTTTGTTTACGATTTGGGACGGGCTTTGCCGACGACGCGCGAACATCGCTCGAGACACGAGAGCGCGAGAATCGAAGGACGTGAAATAATAATTCGATAATAAATTTCAATTTACTTTATAACCGCGTAATTATTTTATTTAATTAATTATTTATTTAATTTTTTTTATGAATATCGAAAATTCCTCTTTTCTTTTTTTTAATACTAATCTTTTTTATACCGTTTATATAATTCTTTGAATTATATATAAATTATTCATCGTATAAATAATAATGTAAATTTTATTTAATTAATAATCATTATAGTGCATTATAGTGCATAAAAATAATATATAAATATATATTTTTATACTATTTTTATTTAATATTAAAAGTTAGATTTATATTTAAGATCTAAATTTAAAAATGTAATGTAATTATTGTATATATATATAAATATAATAAATATTAATTAATATCGTTATAATGAATAATAATAAAATGTAAAGTAATTGAATATTACTAAATATTTATTATACTGAATTAAATCAGTTTAAAAAAAAAAAAAAGATAATCTTATATGAAAAAAGAATGATTTTTGCATTCATTATAAAAATATCTCAAAGTTGATAAAATTTTTAATTAATTTCGTGCACATATTAATTTGTTTAGTAAACAAACATATTAATA